TAGCTCTTGTATTGATGTCACGCGACCAGGTATTGAGTGAGTCATATATTAGGCATACTGAGTCATCCTCCATAAACACTGAGAACTTCGTATCAATAATTTATGTTTCCCTCCTAGCCTATATCTCCCATGTATATTCTAACACCTGTATTTTGATTTCCTGTATTGTTGCAAAGAGTAGAAAACCAAAATCACATACTTTAGTGAGGCTCTATGTTATCGTTTATGGATTAATATCGTGATGGACAACTACACGGGTTTTACAAGGAGTGGCTCATATATATTTTGATGTCCCTTTATACCAATGATTGTGTACATAACTTAATAAATAAGATGAGGATCAGACTGAATACAATTGTAAATTCCGAATTGTCACTAGTAGCACTAACAATTTTGCTTCCAAAAGACTGTTTATCTCTTAAAATTTACTGTTGACAGGACATTTTCTTACTTAACAGTATACCAATAACACTTTTGTTGCAAACAAGTAATCCTAACGGTCAACCTTTGAAATTAATTTAACCTACGTACCATTTGAACTGACATCAATATCATAGATTGGAAATCATTTGTTTTGGCAATCGACAGTATTGTCTGTTAAGTATGAGCACTAACTAACACCACTACGGCATCCTCTGAAGCAAGCCATTGTCAGTTCAAAGCTAAATAAAACTTTCCTAGTCTGTTTATATTTATGAGGCCAGAACTGTGAACTGAAGTAAATGCTAGATGAGCAGAAATATTAAGCTCTTCAAATATCATTTAGTATTTGTACATATCTATTCCTTTCCTAAGGGACTGCATACCTGAGTAACATACTTAAGAACCTAAAACTTTTGCCTCCAAAATACTCAACACCACACTTTTGTTCTAACTCATGAACCTAGTCCCAATGCAAATACTGTGCTTATTGTATAACTTCGTATTTTTTCTCAATAAACCTTCTAAAATAAGAAGTGTGTACTACGGTGGCTTTTTGAGTTAGTTATCGATGTTGGTGGGTTAACAGATACACAATTACTTCACCAAGAATAGGGGACTATGTCCTCAAAGATTTACAGTTCACGCTAATGCTCCTGAGGTAATTTAGTCATTGCTAGTTTTGGAAAATAGTTATAGACCAGATCAGTAGGCTTCAACATATTCTCGGTGAAACAGATTTATGGTTTCGGTGCTGGTTATTTGCGTTCAATTACTGGGAAGTTTATCAAGTTCTACCAGTGTATAGGAACCTTCAGATTAATGAAAAATGCTGCGAAATTAAACCTAGATAAACAGGTGGACACATCTAGTTCAACAAACAGAGTATTGGATGCTGAAGATCATTAAACCGTAACTGCAAGGTGTTTAGGTCGTATTTAGGTACATGAGATTGTTGAACGTCTTTTTGTGAAAATATGCACTGAATTAAATCTTGGTGAATAATGACTGTCAGTATTAAAAGTCTTGTAAGAGTATAGGGAACTTTGGAACTTTGTACTGCACTTCCTAGACATCATGACAACCAATTGCTGTGTTTCATACTACTATCTTAATCATAATACTTTTAATTATCTGAAAATGAAAGTAAACTGGAATTTCATTGTAATACAGCTACATTACCTGATTTAACCATTATCTTGTTTAACGTACGCATTCGATAAAATGTCCACTTTATAATCTTGAGTAACTATAAAACATGGTGCCACCCAACAAATAATAGTATAATTCATTTTGTAATTACGTTAAGTTCCAAAAACATTGTTACATAAATTAAGGGCAGTTAATTTTCTTCATTGAGGTATATATTTGGTGGCTAGTTAGTTACACGAAATAGTGTTAAAACTGAAGAAGATACTTCCAGTAGTTAGGTTGGCTAACCACATTCTCAGATAAACGATAAATAAACTTTGCTCGGTTTCCTACAGACTTTGTATCATTTTCAAATGAAGACAATCCTGAAAGTTTATGCGACGTGCAGTATTTACACCCGAGTGGTTCATAATAAGCAAATCTGTGGGTCATCCTATTCGTAGGAATACAGTTACGGAGTATTTAATCCTATGACCCATTATAAACCATAGGAGGACATGATTGAAAAAATGAACAAGAGTAATCCTGATGCAACACATAAAACACGATGTGCTTTGAATTTATCCAACAACATTTATCCACAATATGTTTGATGGCTTATCTGTTAACTTGCGACTCAATAACAAGGAATCTACTTGTAAAAAAACATGAAATGAATATTGAGAACGCGTATTTCGTCTATTTGTGTCTTTAAAAAGCAACCCAGTAAAACTAGAGTAGACAACTAACTACCCCTGATTCTCCTAAGCGACTGAAGCCTATATTTAGTCAACAAAACATTATTTTTCAGTTTCAAGAATGTGGAAGCAGCACACATTACATAAAGTGTCCGCAAAACCAGTACCGAATGAAGATGATATTCTACAGGATGAAGGTGAACAAATAAAATTCAATGGCATCACAATAGTGAGTGCAGGATATCACAAGAGTAGTTTTAAACACGATGCACGTGGTGAATGCTTGGAAAAATACCAGTCACTTTATTTACACCGAGAATCACCTACTATTAGGCCTTGCAAAAATAATATGCTTAAAAGTAAAATTTGAGGTACGTAACTATATTTTTATGTGTGATAATGATCTAACGTCGAACCTCAATGGATGAATGAGACGACCGAATATTAGCATGATACAAATAGTTCATTAGAAAGACGAACAGATTAAGGGTATTGTGTATTTTTAGAAAGTTGAATTGTGTTAATTTCCACTCCTGTTTTCTGTGACTCGCTCTTGATAAAATCGACTAACCTATAATGCGGTGAGGTGAAAAATTACAAACGTACCATTCTCTGTACATATTCTGTTTGCGATCTCGCTTGCTGTGTATCTGAGTTGCAAGACACATTATTCTCCTTATAAGGAGGGCTGATGACTGTGTGCTCCATCACAACAACATTCGGCTTGTCCCAAACTACAGTGAAAAAACTAATTAATCATATTTATAGATATGATTGAAAAGATATGTACGTCTCAAGATATTCGGCAAGTTTACGAGCATCAACAGGGACATCATGGTTATAAAACTTTAACTTTTCCTTTTGAATACGTTCATTAACTCGGATACGCTCAGTTATCTGAAAAACACGACATAAGTGTTTCCAAGACATACCAACCTTTTCAATGTTTATTTCAGGACAAGCTGATGGAGACCCCTCTTTTGTGCTCTTTAGATCTCTAAGGTAATCAGCGCGTAGAATAAGTATGTCACATGTATCAGGCCTGCCCATACTGGAAGGCTTTTCTAGAAGTTCAATAACACCCATTACATCCCCATACTATGAAAAAACGTACGCAGAACGATCAGCCTTTTTGGTACATCCACACAAAGAACATCTCCTTGTATTAGAGTGTCAGAACAATACGCTGTTATACTTGACCCAGGCTCAGGTAGATTATCGATTGTCATTGTAAAATAATGTTCACAAACCGCGCTGTCAACCTTCAAACTTGTCCAGACATAATTAACAGACTGTGTTTTTAAAACCGGTGTCTAGTTGATTGAAAAGCGTTTCTTAAAATAAAAGCGCAAACTTGTTCGCATGTTCCTTTTGAAGCTTAAGGTAAAACATGTTAATTATTATTGCTGGAAGTGGTTGTGCAGTAATAATTACTGTAATTACCATCAACACGTATGGAGATTAAATACCTGTTCAAGCTCACTCTGAAAGACCATGACAAAAAGTTTCGTTATTTAGTTACCCGTGATTTGACTACGATTAGCATGGATAGGAAATAAATCTTATGTTCGATTCTGTATATCACATGGGCTAATTCCGTTTTTGTAACGGCGGTTTTAAAAAGATAGATTCGTGAGGATGAGTTTATTTCATGCAATCGCCTACATAAACAGAAATTAAAATAAGAAGCAGGAAAATGGAACAGAGCGTAAAAAACACATTTGCCAACTCACCTGTAGTGGCAAACAAGTCCCCAGAATAAATAGTTCCGTAAGTCTTCGATGCTGATGCTGACGTCAGTAGTTATACCGACCACTCTCCAGGTGAAAAGTCTGAATCACGCATCCACTCCAAGTCACTGTGAGGTGCGCCACGCTACGCACTCCTCACATCAGCTAGATTCACTGAATTCTCAATATCTCAACTATTATTGAATTATACCTTCGATTCCTTACATTCTAGACTTTAGCCACGAGAGAGTTTTAGTATTCTCGATTACAAAGGTGTCACGGACAAAAGCTCCGCGTAACCCCAAATATCCGTAACATCTCCACTCTTATACCACCCATTAGACTGGACAATGTGTAGTGTGACTACGATACAGACGTGTATGTATGGAAGGACACAATTGCCTATGAGAAGAATATGGTCACTGGAAAGATCTGAGCTAGCAGTCTTTTCATATGCCATAATGAATCACATACGCACACAGCGAGATACGACCCTGACCAAACTCATAAGGTCAGACCACTTCAGTCTAATTCCAGTAGGCCGACGGTCCACATAAGTCACCTTTATTGATGATCTACAGATGTGCTCTTCAATATAATTTAGTGATAGGGCATGTACAGACTACTAGGGTGACGGACATTTTGAAAGATATGACAGATTGTGATCATGTTCCCCAGTCCCTAACTACTTCTATTCCAATATCCAATATATATCCAATATCTTTTTCATGAGCTGGTATAATCAATTTAAGTTCTTGGCACTCGACTAGTGTTCTTACAGTACAGTTCCAGGTGTTTGATAGTATCCAATGAATCGGGTCTAGCCACTCGATTGTCTAATTCTAGTCAGTTGGCAGTTAGCTGTGAGTTTGCATGTTCCGCGATATGAATGAATACGTTTGTTTCAGGGCAGTATGATTCCTGTATGCCAGCAGCTTACACATCACCAGACCGGAGGCCAGTTAGTTGCAGTGTGGAGAATAATAAGGAGAGAATTACAATGCTAACAGGAAAAAGATCTCAAAACTAAGTAAATGAATTGATAATTTAGTTTATTTACTGCTAGTTAAAATTGTGCCAGAGGATTGAAGTGTAAGCAAGGGAGAGGAAACACAGATAGTAGACGTGATAAATTAGGTGAGTGATCTGTAGAGATGGCAATGATAACAACTAGCTGGTCCCAAGATATGCATCAGGCACAGCTTGTCCATGAGGGAAATAATAATCCGTATGTGAGTACGTGTTTATCAAGTCTCTTCATAAAGCTGTCTACCTTAGTTGGAAGAGCATTCCAAGTTACAACGACTCTTAGCGAGAAAGGTGTGCACGAACCCTGGTGTTCGTGTTTGACGTGCGATTTCTCGGGTATTACCTTGAGGGGCGTGGTGGCGATGCTTCGGTAAGATGCTCATGTTATGATGGTTTGGTGTGCTCAATATGTACGCCATTATCAGATCACCTCTGCTTCTCCTGTAACTCAGAGAGGATAATCCCAATTTCTGGAGTCTACCTGGTAGGTTTCATTTCTCAACCCTATCACTCATTTCGTCGCTCGTCACTACAATTAATCAAGAGATTCGTGTCTCTTTTAAAGAGAGGTGGTACGACGACGTTGCGAACCTCAAGGTGTGGGTGTGTATATGTCTGGGTTGAAGGCATCAAGTTGTCTTCGCATAAAGTGAAGAGTTGCATTACCCGTGGCTACGTGTTACGTTCGTTGCTAAGTATGCTTGAAACTATTATGGGTTCACCTTAGTCGATAAACTCTAAATAGACAATGAACCAGCGTCCAGGTAGACCCCGAACGGCTAAAGAGAAATCTTGATATAGCGTAGAAAGCATATTCTACAAACACCCAGCAAGCACAATGCAATCAAGCACACAAATCTTGTTTACTTAAACATCATAGAAACGTCCTTGAGACAGTCACAAAAATGGCACACTAGAATACACAGCAACCGATCACAGCCAAGGATTTTCCTGATTGGAAAAAAGTTTCAAGACCAACTGATCAGCTCATACTCGGAAATGCAAAATCCAAATCAAGGCATTCATAAAACGAGTTCTGGGGATCTAACGTCCCCAACACTCCTACCCATTTTAATAGCGTGCGCTCCTGGTGTCGACTTGCATCTTGACTGTCGTTCGCCGCCGTCTGAGAGGACACCTTCTGGAACGAAGAACAGCTTGCTTCTGAGTTCCTTCTCGCGGTGGGGCTGCCGGTAGGTTGAATGTATCAAGCAGAATGTCAAGGAGAAGATTCGCTTCTCTTAGTGGGCGATCTGAAGCTAGCCGTTTTCGCATCTGATTTCGTTGGCGTAACCACCTTTCATCTCCTACCTCTACCTCGTACATAACTCGCTCAACTCTTCTGACCACTCGCGCTTCTGCCCAAGGTCCATGGTTTGTTCCGTAGACCGGGGCAAACGTCGGACATCCCACTTCGTAGGAGGATTGCCTTTCCGACTTTGTCTACACTGGTTTTCATGCATTGCTCGGATGCATCAGGCTGTGGATCATTTTCAGTCTTCTCCCCATCAGGATTTTTGCTGGGGACTTTTGCTCCGGTAACATCTCATTTGTTGTTGTTCGATAGACAAACAAGAAATTTTTTTAAGGCATCGACTGGTGTCTCCTTCCCTTTGGACTTAACCAATGCTCTTTTAAACGTATCCACACAACCTTTCCGCCTGCCCATTCGATCACGAGTGGTATGGTGGCGAGTGTAAGTGTTTAAAGGCTAGCCGTTGACAAAAAGTTTGGAATTGTGCGGAGGTTAATTGAGACCCACTGTCAGATACGATCACATATGGTATGTCATAGATATTTATGATGAAAATAAACCTAAAATAGGTTAAAATAGGAAGTCTTAGTTAAGAGAGGTTGGGGTATGGCTAAACAGGCCCTGAACAAAGGCTAACAGACAAATTAAAAAAATATCACCATCGGAGAGATTTCCATGCATTTAATCTGTAGATCACGTATCTGGGTAATCATTGTCGCTGGTTGTGCGCCTACTTGCGTTTCAACAGAATGGCGTGACCTACGTCGAAATAATGCTTTGTGGTTAGTGCCTAACCTGGATTTTACCACTTTCATAACCGTGTGACTTGCAAGCATAAATGCTCTTAATAAGTAACAGCATACATGAGCATCGACAGTCAGCAAAAGTGGCAGGCGGAGCCACTACTGCGTACGCCGGTCCATGATATGTGATCGACTGATGGGAGTTGGTTACCCTCGAACTTGACGAGGATCGACAAACAGCTTGACATCCATCTACTGACCTGTCGTAATACCTGGCTAGGATCTAGCGATATTTCACTGGTCCTGTGATTCTGTTTCAGTAGTTTATGGGATCCGTGCACTGTCAAGCACCTTGTTTCCCATAAAGTTATGTAGAAATCAATGATTACCTACTGTAAGGTTCATTGGACGAGACTGGTGAGTTGTTTGTGAAGTATTTATCGCGCATGTTTATCAAGTATTTTGATCCAATTTTTTCAGATTACCCTAGTCTCTAGCTTTTATTTTATTTTAATATAAAGCTACACCTATTTCATTCATAAAACAGAACGGATTATTTATTTTTCTTATCATTCACAAACTGCTTATTCATAGGTAGGTTTTGTAAAGGGACCATTCCAAGTTTCGCCATCAATTTTCAGCACCTCATCATACTCCTTGAATAATACCCTGGATAATTGCCGAAGACTTGATTACTTTACCCAGGAGCCCACAAATTTATTCTCTGACGAATATCAACCAGATATTTGCAAATTTACCTGACCAAATCTTGTTATATGCAGACCTGGATTCACCGCGTATTATATCTCAACCAACAGTGGTTCGTCGTAAGGCAACAGTCTAAACTCCCTCCAACTTTTGCATTGTACACTGCAGAGTCCAAAACATTATCTATAATTTTATGTGAGAAGTTTTAACCCTTTATATAAGTAGTCAGTGCATCTTGTTAAATATTTATCTAGCCAACTTATTTCACTAATTATAAAACAAGAATTTGCACTTCGATAAGAAACCCTGCGAGCGTATAAATGAAATTTATGTGAAGGAGAAAAACAAATAAATGAATAATAAGTAAAAACAAAATCAGGGGAAACAGAAAAAAAGGAGTATCTAATTAGCTAGCTATAACAGAAAAAGTAAATAGAACATCGACGTCTTAGATAAAAGGATAGTTTTAATTGTAACATCTCGCTCAGTCATGAACCGTAATCCTGCTTATGGACTCAGATACGGTACAGATTATTATGGGGAAGACTGCCAGTATTTACCCTCCTCTGTGACACAATCACCAGGTTCAAGAAACTGGCAACGCTGATGCTATACTCTCAAGAGATTTATCAACTGTATTCAGAATTCACACCAAATCCCAAAGCTTATTTTATGGTCCAACTATTATCTAGACTAAGCTTAGAAACTATTAACGAACCATGAGTAAGCATCTGTTGAGTCATGACTCAGCTTCAGTAACTTATATTTTCTATTCTTCCTTTCGCTCCCTTCTCTTTTTCAGCACCTCGTCCTGCACTTTAAATAAAAGCCCTGATATTCATAGAGACATAGTTGTTTTCTCAGAAGCCTGTTAAATTATTATCTGGAGAATGCCATTAATAAGCTTATCATAAATTTTACCCTATCAGTTGTTGCTGACTACAGACCTGGATTTAACTTGCATCGATTCTCGACTAGACGTCGCTAATCGCAACACAACCGACGTAAATCGCATCAACTATTGTATTGTACATTTCAGAATCTGAAACACTGATAATTTTATGTTAAAAAATTAGCCCCCTTTAAAAAGCCGCTGATCTTGTAAAATATTCATCCAAATGAACATATATTCAAAAAAAATGTGTTAGCACTTTTAACATTTTGATTTTGCCGGTAAACTGGCATTGCTCATGCAGCGCATTGTGATTTGAGAATAAATTTTATTATTGTTATTTTCTTTCTCTCTGGATATTTATGACTGATTTCAAAGTGGCCATGAAGTTATTCGCTCAAATTCGATCTTTCTAAGACAGTTATTTACTACCTTATGTTGATTTCGCAATGCCACAGAGTCGTCCTATCACATGCATTTTGAGAGACTTGAGCGCAGTCTTGAGGCCGGTATTTGATAGCAACAATAAACAGGGGCAATCAATACAGAAATGTTATCTTGATAAAGTCATTTTAGAATAAAAGGAACTCAAGATTCTTTTTAATTTTTCAAAATAGTTAGACAGTAATCCTACTTCGCTCTTACCCTTTCTTCCTGCATCAGAGGTCTGCTTTCCAGTTAAAATTCGCCTCACACCGTTCATACTTCCTATGGTTTATCTGAAGTTTCTTCGTTGACAGTTTATCCCTATTTATTCAGTAGTTAGTTTGAGTTCTACCCACTAACCATCACATCTTAATCTATTTCGCTGCATACACCTAGGTTTTATCAGCCATTCTTTGACGTTAATTCCTCAGTTCATTTTTCTTCCTTTTCGAATGTAACAAGGAAGGATGAAGTTTGGAGAAACTGAGCGTTAGCAAACTTCACAGTTCATACATTTTTAATCGGGTTATAACAGCTGTGAATTCACAGTAAACTTTCAACGCAAAGACATATTTATAAATTTGTTGGCTGTCTGGATGAACAATCCATCATGTATTTTCACTCACTTATTCAATTTACTAATCCAGACTGATTAACACGTTGTCTGTAAACACATTCTGTAGATTGTTTAAAAAGTCCGGAAAATGGCCCAACCCTATGTCATAGGCATATTACAATGGTTATCTAAGCATAATGAATACGATCATTTGACGAATCAACGTGAGAGACAGACTGATCCAAGGGCCTCTGAATACTGAGACATGATGGAATTCATATACAGCCGTTGCACGTATCATCGTAGTAATAATTTTCGTATTGTGTGCACTCACGTCCAAGTAGCCTTGAAATTTCATCTACAAGTGTCTCCCTTGTAGGCTCTCCCTGAATGTCCGAATGTAGCGATAGCTTCCCGCTTGTTCTCTGGAACTGTAATACGGGTTGCTCGTTCATCGTCATGATAGTACGTACTAAGATAAAAATTAAGACTGAGGCTTCGAAGTAATTTTCCTGCAATAAAACTTACGAATGCAACTCACTTAGTATTTCTTTGAACTAGCTAAATAGTGTTGATATTGATTATTTAGAGAAACAGTGAACAATTCGATTGTGCATATGGTGGGTTGGTCAGATGTATATATTCCTAAATATAACAGTCATCAGTTACGAAAAGACCTCAGCAACCACTAGCAAAGAAAAAAGAGATCACAGGTCGAAATGTAAAACAAGAACTTACAGAGGACCAGAAACAAGAGATCCGTGAAGCATTTGATCTTTTTGACACTGATAAGTCAGGGACAATCGATATCAAAGAGTTAAAAGTAGCTATGCGAGCGCTTGGTTTCGAACCAAAAAAGGAAGAAATAAAAAAGCTTTTGACAGAATTTGAATGCGATAACAAAGGTACGATCACTCACATTATCAAGAATTTCATCCGTCAGATTCTATTGATTTTTCGGATTTTCTAAAAATGATGGCAGTCAAAATGCAAGACAAAGATGCAAAGGAAGAGATGCTTAAAGCTTTTCGTCTATTTGATGATGACGAAACTGGGAAAATATCTTTTAAAAATCTTAAGCGTGTAGCTAAAGAGCTTGGTGAAAATCTTACAGATGAGGAGTTACAAGTAAGTAGTAAAGCAAACTTTTGTGTAACTTACAGGAAATGATTGACGAAGCTGATCGTGATGGTGACGGCGAAGTTAACGAACAGGAATTTCTTCGGGTCATGAAAAAGACTAATCTCTACTAAGTATTGATGTACATATATTTCTTGTTAATTATAACTGTATTATGAACTGATTTTTAAAAATTCTACTCCATAAACAGACAACTAAGTAAGGGCTATCTGGAATTATCTGCATTCTCACAGGAATTTCCTAATAGTATTCGGTATGCAGATTTGTACACTCACTAATGAATTGAAGGTGGAACTTGTAAAACTTAGGACGCCTTCATATCTTAATAAGGCTAGATAAAACCCTTCTACCAATGTATACATATTGATAAGCTTCAGACAGCAACTCCGTCACAATGGGTTGAAATTAGACAGCCTCTTTGGTTGGTAAAATTTATCGACACTTGCTGACTGTTTTACTATAACAACTGGATGATTTTTCATCATCCAAAAGTTTATCTTTCACTTTGGTTTTATGGATACTAAATAATAAAGTCTATGTATGTCACATGTGAGTTTGTATTGTTTCTATTACAAGAAGAAAAACACGCTTTTGGACCTTCGTTGTAATAACCAATGTAGGGATTCAGGATGCTTGGCATATTCAACGAGCTTATTCTTCAAAGCAGTTTATGCTGATCAATCTTTTTCTATAGCTCGCAGGACCCTAAAGTAGTGAATATCTCAAATACCTTAACAAAACAAACATTTGAGTCTCACTACTTTAAACAACAATACCTCGATTTGTGTAGCAAAATCCATCATAACACTTGAGACCATTGATACAGAAAATGAGATTAAACCCTAGAGTTCGTACAGAATATTTTATGATGAACTATACGCAGCATTCCCTGAAACTTGGTCACTATAAGTTTAACAAATAGTTCAACATATAGATCTTGATTTAGTGAATCCACATGATTAATATGCATTTTTCGTGTGAACAAGTACTTCTTACTGAACTGAATTCCTCAAGACATCTGAAATAAACTTCAAATTGGTCAACCTGTGCCTATCCTTTTTGCTTCATATATGTTTAAAAGACTTGATCGTGGTCACTTTCTGCAACTATCATGCTAATTTATGATAGCTAAAACATCGGGAATCATCTATTTCTTGAGGAACTTCCAGTCTCTTGGTGAACACGATGCCACTGAGCCGCAACCAGGTTTTTCAGAAATTAAGAAGAACAGAGTATACGCAATTCGAAAATGCTTTCCTTTGCTAACAAATAACTCACTGCCCACAGAAATGACATCAAACTGTCATTTCATATTCCCACTACCGCTAAAATGAAACTGTTTATTGTGTATTGTACATCCATCTATGCAGTGAACCCTAGCTTATCTACCACATCTTCTACAACATACCTATTGTTACACATTTAAAAGAAGAAAACTACTGAGTTTATCAAGTAAATAACGTGCTAGTAAAGCAAATTTCTCGGTGAGGATTTTTCTGGTGATTTTATTTCCAGAAGCTTTACAGTTGTATTTATGCAGAGTATTTAATAAAATAAACAAGTTTTGCTTGTTAAAATACATGTTTATAGCCATTAAAATTCATAAAATTCAGTTTAAATGTAGGATATACTGGAGGCGAAAGATCGCAGACAGGTCAACCATATGAAATTATTGTGTAATATTGCTCAAACAGATAAATAAAAGTTAACTAGCAATTATTGTTTCTCCATAAATTTCACTCGATAAATGATGTTTGGCTAGTTAAAGTAAATACGATTTACTACTGAGCGTGACTATATAATTTGTGATTCCTTTCCAATTATTAACTTCTATTCTGATTGTGTATTGCTTGCAAATGTGTTGAATGAAAAATTTATTTGGTCTATACTCTGATTCTCTATCCTGGTAATGAGTTGTTTCTATGACATAATATGATCTGTTCTGTGTATAGTTTGTATAGCGTGGTTATAGTATAAGTCTCTGTCCCAACCGTATTGCAGTTATACATGGCAAACGGAAAGTATCTTTGTTTAACCGTTAAACCATTAACCTATTGTTTTCAAAAATTAAAACAGATACAATGATGATAGAGCTTTATCATGCAAATAGATCAATATGTTGTCATCCCTTAAGAATGGATAACAGTAAATTACAGACATTGGATACTCTTCTATCTGACTGGTCAGTGAATGAGATAATTTTCCTTTAGTTAATGGAAATTATCTAAAGATTTATCAATAGTAAATTATCCAGGCGCGACGGATTGATAAATGTCGTAGCCTCCGGTTGACTGTTAACAAGTCAAAAAATTGGTTCCTTTTTTCTGATACCGTTATTAAATACTGATCGTAAACACTATTGAGTTTTCATTGGACTAGCAGCAATTTAATTTTTCTATGTGTGCATCCCATACACAGATATACTACAACTCAACTTGAGAGCAGTGATAGTAAATGAAAGTTTGTTTCACACCCAAACAAAAGATTAAAAATAGTATATCAATATACTGATTTGTGAATAAAACCGGTTGATAATTAAATTCGAACAATTATGACTTCGTTGCCTGATCATTGTTCGATTCATGAATAAACTTGTAAGAATATAAACTATTGTCATATTAATTATTCCACGACTCAGTTGATAATGTCGTGAAGATGGAAAAGTCATGACTAACCAAAAGAATTTCTGGTTTACTGAATTTCAAGTTCAGTCCCATTGTATTTAAATTTAAAAAAAGATTAGTAAAAAGCTAAATAATATAAAAATCATTCCATTTGTCGTACAGAAGTAACACTATAAATTCTTACCAATGGATAATTCTCATTCAACTTTTAAATATTCTTGAACTAAATATGATGAAACAAAACACTAAGTTTACATAATCGTTTTTATCTCCTACTAAGTTTATCAATGACTTCAGCTGCCATGTTGAAATATTGTAGTTATCTATACCACCCACCAATTAATACCATGGTAATCTGACTACTCAAGAAAATATCCAGTTATAAGATTGCAAAAATCAATCAACCGGTTAATGATGATCTTATTCTCTCTTATTTACATCGGTATAATAGATATTATTGTGGAATCATTAAACTTTATCAGACTATGAAATACCGATATCCGAAATTACTTGGCAATGTGCTTAATGATCCAAACACTACTGACTCAATATTTGTCAATTACAATGATTCGTGGGGTTGTATATCTCATAAAAATGCTAAAACTGGGGACAAGGCAATATTATATATATATATATATATATATATATATATATATATATATATATATATATATATATATATATATATATATATAACTATTACAGTATTCAGAAATTAAACTAGATTCATTCTCCTACTTTGAAAATAATCACATCGTGTCGATCGATACACTATCACAAAAATGTGACCTACCTCATGGTTATATTCACTTGATAATTATATCACTCTCACATTTTATGCATGAAACTATAAAATTTATCCTTTCAGCATTACTACAACATAAAAACAGGATTTCATCAAGTGCTGCACTATTTTTAAAAGTAGAGGTGGTGCAATAGTGATCAGGAAAAAAAAGTGCTATTCATTATGCATTCACACTATTTAATTAGATATTCAAAATGTAAGAAAGGAATAAATGCAACATGAAAACCTAAATGAAATTACTATTCTACAGGTATATAAGTAAGAGGTTACAATGTGAAGTGTATATATACATTGGCAGATGATTTACAGCTTTAATATGAAGTGTCATTGATTAAGTAGCCTAAAGAAATGTACTATCGTAGGATTCAGTGTTTTTAGTCTGGCAAGTGAGACTAAATGTAATCAAACTGTAGGGTATTCAGGTTTGTAGCCATTCTATTCGGAGGATGATGTTTCAGTAAGCAATTGGATTGGATTGTTTTGAGAAAATAAAACCGACTGCACTTTAAGATAAACGTGATGAAACTGTATTTGGGCGCTTACTACGTTTGCATAAGAAGTCTAAAGCTGATAATTTCATTTCTGTTCGTCACATAGGGACTCTCAAACAAATAATGCTTATGGTCAGGTATTGGATCATGCAAGCCTCAATAAACCGATTAAAACACTGTGAATTAATGGAAGATATGGAATCACAGGCTGTTTCCATTCTGGTATGGGTACTCTCAAGAGTAGTACACACCTACAACCCAATAGGAAGTCGAACTAGAAACCTTCAAGTTACCAGAAAATATGGGACTGTTAAGTCTCCTGTTGTCTGGTATTCCTTGCACACTATGCTTCACTAAACTCTCCTCAAGTCAGAACAAGAATTGAAATCAAACGAACACGTATTCTAAACAACCAAACAAGCAAAAACAGAAGGTAAATCATTAGGATCTATGTAAAATTTACATAGGGATCTTTTGGCGTCTCCATGGACGTTAAGAGATCGCAAATGGACTGATAAATGGACAGTGATTTGAGGTGAAAATAGAACGTAGTAATCAAGATCCTATCGTACTTAAAGAGCCTATGTGTCGTTTTATAATGTTGCTCTTTAGGAACAGGAACTGATTCTGTTGCAGTAGGCGTATCTTATTCGCTATACACTTTAAAATACTTTCTTGTACTCCAAACAAAGACCGATTAAAAATGCTTAGTAGGCAAGTTGGACGGTAGAAAAATGTAAATAACAAGTCATATATCTGTCGGATTATACATTGATCTTTCTGGAAACGTCAGACAGTTACCATTTACGTCCGCCTTCATAACAGATCTGCATATACAAATTCAGCCATTTTGTTCTTCATAGTGATCATCATCTAGTGCCATTGTTGGTTTTCATGTCGTTGATAATTTAGTTGAAACTCACCGACCACGGTTTCTCTCTGAGACGTCAGGAATTTATTTTTAATCCGGTTGCTAGCGTAAGTCATAATATTATTTAGGTAGATAGTACATGAACTCCACCTATAGCCATTAAAGGGTCATTTCCGGTTCGAATCACGAATGAAGGAGGAAGGTTGGGCATTAGGATGACAAATCCATCCCGCAGAAAACAACCTTGCCAGTAAACACCAACATGAACAAGTAATTTAAACTCTGCCGTTGATGTCCATTTCGGAGAGTTATGACGCCGCATGGTGAAATTCGAGTTTCTTCAGAAGTCATGGGACCGATTCCTCCTCTGTC